GAAAAATTCAGTGCAAAACAGCCGATAGAGAATGATCGACTGCCGACGATAGGAGACCCGTTCGAACTTAACCCCGTTCGCGCGGCTCCCGGGGAGCACTCGCCACTTTTCGGGGCGAAGTCTAACCGGTCAAGTTGAAAAATCATTCCCCGCGATGTTCTACAGGACGGCCCAACGACAAATGTCATTCTAGATGACTTGGAAACTGCTTGGACCAACAGAATTGATCACCTCAATTCTCTGTTTTGAGGTACTTGCTCCATCTCTTGCTCTGGAGGAGGATTCTTTAGGTATTTGTGGGTTTATCTTTGTGGGTTCAGCCACTTATTGTCTAATTTAGGCATTACAAATGTCAAATGTCACTCTCGATGGCTTGGAAACTGCTTGGACCAACAGAATTGATCACCTCAATTCTTTGTTTTGGGGTACTTGCTCTACTCCTTTCTCTGGAAGAGGATTCTTTGAGTGTTTATGTATTCATCATTGTGGGTTCAGCCACTTATTGTTCAGTTTGGGTACTACAAATGTCAAATGTCACTCTTGATGGCTTGGAAACTGCTTGGACCAACAGAATTGATCACCTCAATTCTTTGTTTTGGGGTACTTGCTCCATCTCTTGCTCTGGAGGAGGATTCTTTAGGTATTTGTGGGTTTATCCTTGTGGGTTCAGCCACTTACTGTCCAATTTAGGTATTACAAATGTCAAATGTCACTCTCGATGGCTTGGACCAACAAAGCTGATCACCTCAATTCTTTGTTTTGGGGTACTCGCTCCACCTATTGCTTTGGAAGAGGATTCTTTGAGTGATTATGGATTCATCTTTGTGGGTTCAGTCACTTACTGCTCAGTTTGGGTATCGTGTAATACATGACAACGTATATAACCATGAAATATTGTTATTGTTGAATGATAAGCCTCTTGTTTTTCAGAAAAATTCTTGGCTCTCGTTCGTGCTCTATCATGCTCTACCACTTCTAGGTGTTAACCCTGAGACATACCGTGATATATCTGTAAGCTTAAGGTTTTCGTTTTAACAAAAATGTTACGAAGATTGCAGCAGTATTGCTGTTTTTTTCTTTTCTTTCTGCCACTGAAAATATTCAACGTTTTTATGACTGTTACAAAGTCATTGTTTGTAACGATCGAATCCATTGGAAAGTTTGTTCCAGAAATGTTCGAGCCAGAGATTCGAGTACCCATCGCTACTGGCAATTACACGGTCACTGGCAGCAGCAAATTGAAAAATGATCGCGAACATTCGAATCCACGCGGTCGAATAATCAAGCTGGACACGGGAGTTTCGTCTCGATTTGCTAATCTCTTCAGACGAAATTGCCGGCGTTGCAAGTCGTCGCGGGTCAACCAAACCGTCTGGATCATCGTTCCTCCTGTCTGACACGTCGAAATACAATCGCTTATTTATGGGAGACGATAACTGTATTAAGAACATCGATAACGCTTTCTCAGACCCAGTCGAATATCTCTAAATAACGTCCAAAGATCTCGTGAGCGTTTAATACACGAGGATCGCTAGATTCCAGGCTGGAATCGAATATTCTTGGGGACATTGACAGCGTCTATAGGGTGTTCCAAAAACAATGGGACTCCATGATTTTATAGGAAACTCAATTTTGAATAAAAATCGTAATTATTTTTCTTTGCGCACCAATCACATATCTCTTATGCTCTGTAGCAACAAATAAAGATAAATAGAAAATGTTGTAGCGAGTATTGGTTAAAAAATGCTTCATCAAAGTGTCGTTGCTGAAACATTTCGAGCGCTATGTTTCTCGAAGAGTACGTCATTTGTCGTACGATGCGATCAGAACCTCTTATCTCCTGTATAATTCCAATTCAAAATGCAATCTATTTGAAACCGTTGAATTTTTGTTTTTGGGGAAGATTAAAAGATGATATAATATATCGAATTTATACGGTAATAAGATATAATAATTTTTTTCCGTTTCCATTCTGTTAATTTAACATCGAAAGAAAGTTATAAATTCTCGGCCATGTTATTATATAAATTTTATAATTCTTCAGGATTACTCCAATGAAACATTCGATAATCCCATTGTATATTTTACAGTATTGTTATTTGTAATTATATAAATACTATATGCCAGCGAAAATGATTTTACAATATGTAAGTTCCAACTGTCGGTCATCAGTGACCACCATGGCAGACAACCTAACCAATTAAAACTTAACCTATTTAGAATGCAAATTGAAAGAAGAAAAATACAAACAGTCCGCAGAGGATATTGTACTCGCTTGTAAATTACCTTGCAATCAAGCGCAGATAAAAAATGAACATTCTCGAAACGGTGAATCGGCCAATTACACAAATGGCGAGTTACCCAACGCGATGCATAACGCGCGTCTCGCCCCGCTAGAACTGTAACCACCATTGATGGCTTACACGTGTCGCGTGCTGTGTCCTTAGCATCGTTCCTTCGCCCCCGGAATAATTTGAAGAATTTCCTTCTAAATCACGATCACGTGCATCGGAATTTACTATCGTTCCACACGTGGCGAGATCGCTAGCGGCTGAACGTGACGCTTGAGGTTAAACACCAACAATCGCTAACAGTGCGACGCACTCACCGTCATTGATAAAGGCGCGCGTCTTAAACGAATTCGACTTGGGTATGGGTTACCAACCCTGAATCATACAAAGAACAATGTATACAAGACACGGTGATCGCTAAAAGAAGAAAGAAAACTAGAAAATAAGACTAGAAATTGCAAATGCAAAGTCGAAATGGGTACAAATAAAACGTTAAACGAGAGTTGATCCAAAATAAGGTTACCTCGGTAATAATTTTTTTTATACGCTGCGAGAAATGTATATTTCCTTGACGTAGTAAGGCCACGTGCCAGTAACTTTATCAGGTAAATGAGCCACCGACAAATTAAAAACATTTACGACTTATAATAATTGAAGTTCCATTGATCTTTATAAGTACCTTTCTTTTCTAGGAATAACTAGTCAAATATTGCTTGTATCTAGTGATGTTTACAAGACCTATGCTCATTAAGTATTTACGTAACATGAGGTTGCCAATGCAACATAGTAGAAAGGGTTAAGTGTTGACTATCGCGTGGTAGTTTTTTTCCATTGTTTCCTGTCGGTCAGCCTGTACGACATTCTATAACCTAATAACATTAGCGAGCTTACAAATTGCAAGTAAACTCACTAATATTATTAGAATTTAGAAACTTACACTCGTAGCGAAGACTTTCTGCTTAGGGCATGCCTTTCTATCGTCATTTCTTATTAATTAGGTTTGCCTCCACCGACATTGTAGCAGCGTGCGGAGAAGTTAGGGTACACGTAAGTGCATATGCACTAACGACAAAGAATAAAGAGCTGCTTTGTAAGTTGTGTTTAATGGCGAATCTGGAAAATCCTAAATGGGGAAGTACAAACCCCTGTACCCCCTTGAGAAATAATTTCCCTAGAAGATCAAATATGACAATTTATGCACTCGTCGACATATTTTCCAGAGGTTATCGTCCCATTTGCAATTCGATCAAAGGATTCGGTCGAATCGTTTAGTATTTTATTTCGTCACCGGCTCGTCGGTAATCCTATATTCGACGATTCTCGACGGAATCAGCGCGAAACACGACGAGGATTGCAAAACGGCGGCATAAATATGAAAATTGATACAAACGCTGACAATTCGTAAACCGACGCCGCGAGGTTGCAGCGACCGTTGTACTCGTCGTCGCTTCGTGTCATTCCGATTAAACAGACCACCGGGAGAAAATACCCCTGAATCAGCGAACCAGACACGCACGTCGGAGCCCGAGGAAATCACGACGGTCGTCGTAAACAGCAACGTATCGCGGTCGTTTAACCGTAGGAGTAGAATAACCGGGCGTTACCTGCGTTCTAAATCGAGAGTGGAAAAAACTGTATCTAATCGGGGTGAATAAGACTCCGGTGATCGTCGGAACGCGAATTCCACGGGCAGAAATGAGAGGAGGACGGATCGAGCGAAGGCCTCCTCCGCGTCGTTCGAACGATATCGGAAACTGGTACGATCGTCGGAAAGAAACGAGGGTAGGAGGTCGACCGGACGTCTCCCGCGGTTGTATCTGTTCAAAAAATACGCGCGAATTTATCGGGTCGAGGCAAAATAGCCGTGATTAATTGACAGTCCCGATAATCGCCACCCTTTGTTGGGCGTCGCGCGGACACGCCGCACTGGACACTGCCGGCGACACTAGAGAACGTCTTCCTCGTGACCACCCGTGAAATCGATCGGGGGAAAAAAAGGAAAAACGAAAGCCAGAGGAACGAAACACTGGTACGATAGGTAATAGCAAGACGCTGGGTGTTGATAGCTGCTGAATCTGATAGGCCAAGCAGCTTCCTCTGCGATGAGAACACGGGAAAGAGATCGAGCGATCTCGCTTCATCGACCCCTTCTCCCGATCTACTGGGGAGCACACACGAGCACCGTCTACCGCCAGTAGTCCAGCTTGACCTCTTCTCCCTCCTCTGTCCTTCCATCTTCCTCCTCCGCCTACTCCTCCATCTTTTCCCCTCTCTCAATGTGTCTTCTTATCGTTCCTCTCCTCTAATCCGTGAAATCTGGAACAAGAACCGCGTGGCGAGGCAAGCCGGTACCAGTGGCACCGAGGAACTCGGTACCAGCGGAGGTCTCTTCAGCAAACGACTTCGAGGCTGCTGTACAACCACACGAGTCACCTAACACCTGCAACAACAGACATCCACGAACACCAGAGATCGATTCGACCGTTGAGACAGACCGCTGGAGAACCTCAGCCACCAGACAAAGACTGTTACATAGGATTAAGCTAGACACCCAACACGCTTGGACGTACTCGAAGACACGTGGCGATCAGTCGGAGAATGCCGCAGCTTGCGGTCCAAACGTGATCGAATCTCAAAAAACAAGAGTCCTCCAGTTTGTCGTGAACGATAGTCGATCATCTCGCGGACGTACAGTGTCGAAGAGCCAAGATGTCGAGGACCGGTTGTGCAACGGTGACGTCCAGAAGAATCAGAGCCGGTAGGCTGGTCCTGGTCGGGCTGATTCTCCTGGCGCTCCTGGACTCCGTCAGCGGCGTTCCCTACAAACGATCGTTGCTCAGACTGTGCTCCAGGAGCCTGAGCGACGCCCTGGCGCTGGCGTGCAAGGACCGCGGATACAACGAGCCGTTCTCTTACAGCGCGGAGGCAGATCCTCAAGACTCGATGGAGACGGGACTGGTGGAGGAGTGCTGCTACCGTCAGTGCTCGTTCTCGCACCTGCAACAATACTGCAAGCAGGACACAGAGGGCCCCGCGGCCGACGTGTGAGTGGATGTTAGTTTCTTCTTTTTTCTTTGGTATTTTCTTTCAGTGCTCGCCTGTACGCCTTGTTTTTTGCACGATCCCAGGTGTCCCCCTATCCCACGAGTTTCCAAGAACCGTATCGTCTCCAATTGGGTTCGCGGAACGCGTCTCTTGTCAGTGGACTTTGCGTCTCGATATCGCGCGAGTGCACAGGGAGGTGAAATTTAAAGGTCAGCTGTCGATCGAGGTCTGGATTAGGTTGATGGTGTCTCTCGTACTCGTACTCGGCCTCGATCAACGATCTACCGATTCCGTGGCGCCAAGGCCGTCTCGAACGCTAAATTGAACCGCTCGTTAGCTCGCTAGTTATGCAAAAACCACCGAGAGCCTTTCCGCCTTGGATTTTTCCATCTCCGGCCTGCAATTACGGGCAGAGAGATTAATCCGCGACCGACTAGTTCCGATCGTGCTCAAAGACTGGCTTGTCAAAACACGATTGCGTAACGGGTCGAGTGCACGCTTCTGTACGCCTCGTAATAGCAGCGTCGCGCTGCTTAGAATCGCTCAAGGCTGCCCAGGATTAGGTCTGAGTTACGTTGACTCTCGAACACCTGACTTCGAGACTTCATTGTCTCCTCCGTTGTTCGTCGGTGCGGTTGAACTGGGGTTCTCCAGCGATCCAGAGGCTGGAATCTCCGTCCAGTGGACACCTATTTACGCGAACGTTCCTCGAACCGCGGCCAACGAGCTGATCCCTGCAATCAACAAGTTGTTATTCTTTCGATAGAAGGCTTCGAGTGGACTTTTACCTCGTCGATAGTAGGTGGTTTACACCAGAGAGCGTGTTATTAACCGTGCACGGACGCAACGGAACAGAAAACCGGAACAACGCGCGCGGGCGAGCTAGTGAGAGCGTCCCGCGCTACGCTTTATCAACCAGCTCGACAGATAATCTCTGTCGCTTTTCCTAAAGTTCACGGCTGCGTGTGGTGGCCTCAGCAGGAAGGTTAGTCCGAAGTGCTAGGACAATCCGTCTTACTATCTCTCGTCCCCTGGTTTTTTATGCCTTTCTATCCTCCTTTCGTTTCTTGTCTTTCACGAGATCGCGCTCGCGCGCGTGTCCCGGCCACCGCCATCTTTACTTTTTCTTTCCCTCCGCGGTTTCGCGCCTCGAGTATCGGTTTCGCTGTTTACTCGAGATACGAGCTCGCACGATACACGTGAATCACGCTCCAATATTTGACCGAGCACTCGTAAACATCAACAACCGCACTTGTTCCGTTGATAACAGCTATTTGTAGATCGCCGCTCCGGGATCTATGCATCTGCGTTCCTCCCACTGTTCGCGTCTAATGGCGCTCGGTGTCTAGACGGATTTGCTTTGGGCTTTTAACACCCGTAATGGATACATAAAGATACGATCCGAAAGGGTCGCGTGCTCTCGCTCGGCGCGTTCTAAAATTGGAGACAGTAAATGAAAATATATTTGATTAAGACGTTTGTAGCTTGCGACAGATTCTTGCAGCTGGTACTTGTTTAGGTTATAATTACCTGTAGGAGCAATAAACTCTGTAGCTGGTCCTCAGCAATGGGTGTAAATTTTATTGGCCAACCTGTAAGGATAGATAGATCAGGTTAGATCATATTGTTTCAACTTTGTAATTATGTTGTATAAGTTTGCAAGATTACAGTGAAGAATATCTAGGTCTTCTGTCAATAGATGTAAACACTGACAGATCAGTTTACATTTTATTTCAATGGCTTAGATTCCATGGTTCTATAATTTATTATCAGAAGTTAAGATTACCGTCAACCTGATGTTTCCTCAACTAAACGGTTGATTGATATGTGCAATCCTGAACATAATCTATTATTTGCTGTCATTGATAGCTGTGTGTAAACTGAGACGTTTGCTTTGTGTTATTATCTTTCTTGACTTTGACAAAACTTGATGTACAGTAACGCCCACTTTAGCCCAGACCTAACCTAGATCTGAACTCTGATATATTACATAATGATGACAAGATCTTAACCTCTAAGATTTGTAAGATTTGGACCTAGGATAGAGAACATAGATGAGAGGCTAGGTACCCAGATAAATAGTTATCAGAACCACGCGTAAGGGGAATCTGAACTGAGTTCATAAGCTCTGGAAGACTACCTGAAACGTCTGACCCAACACGGTGCATGCTCCCTTACAAGATACTATCTTTTCCCATGCTCCTTTCAGGCCTATTCTCTCGAGATCCTAACTCAATACTAACTCCGTAGTATCTCCTGTTGGCATACACTTAACAATCTTTTCTAATGTATCCTTTGCTACTGAGGTAGTACAACCACCTGCTTCCCAAGTATAATTTGCTATCTGAACCAGTGCACGTTGCTTAATGTGTCTTGGCGATCTGGACCATATGCTCACGAGTGTTTTCTTTACGTTTCTTCAGAGACAAGTCGGTTTGGATAGAAAATTTACCGTATCCCTCCGGGAGGCTGGGAACGTCGTCGGAGGAGAGATCGAGATCGGACACTGACTACGACGCCAGCACGATAAAGTGTAGGACCCACGGGTTGCACGGGCCACGAAAGAAAGGAACTAACACGAACCACGACGACTGGGTTGGCTGCGATGTGAAGGTCTCGGTGAGGAGGCATCGCGGCGGCTGGCATCGACGCCAGATACGTCGTCGTCTTGGCAAGGTACTTACACCAATACCGCCACGACATCATCAGTTTTTCACTTTCTCATCTCTCCTGTACAAAGCATAAACAGGGGGTACCTCCGTTGCATAGTATCCCTAACGCAAATCGTTGCAAGAAGCGAGGCGTACTGTATATGGCTACTTAAGGCCACTGACAGGACATCCTCATTTCGTAACATTCAGGAAAAGTTGTATCCTCGAGGTAATTTAGAGTGGGGTTAGATGCTAGTTAAATTTGATCCCTCTATGTGGACCCAGAGATTTCACCCAACCGCCCATCCTCATCAACATCACTGACCTATCGCCCATCAGAAGTATGGAGGACCATGGTTCCATCTAACGTAAGGTGTTTCGTGGTTTGTTCCAGGTATCGGAGATGGCACTAGCCGAGAAGACATCGAGGATCAGAAAGTTCAAGGGTTTACCGTTCCCTTAAGACACGAAGTCCATAGGTCGAAGACTCAAGCGATATGGTAATCGGCTAGGAATGCGTGGAGTCACGGGATCATCGTCATTTCGCGTAACTCTTGTTTCTCGTCTCTGCGAACTCGGTTCTTCCGAAAAATCTGGAAGATTCGAGGAGAAGAGGGAGACGAGAAACCGACGGAGCGATGGCAACCAGAACCGTGAAGCTCGGTGAAGAGAGAAAGGAAACTGGAAATGGATGTAAAGAATCAGTAAGACGTCTAGTCCCATAGAAGAGTGATAATTGGTCGTTGTATTTGCGCCTAGAATCCACGGGACAGTAACTCGAGACAGACGTAACGACGCTAAAACGATTATTATAGCACCATACGTCGATTCGTATCTCGATTACGGCCTGCCAGCGACCACAGACGCACGCCTCTTCCAGACGCTTCGTCCACCGAACGAGCAAGAGACTGGTCGTTTAATTATTATTTTTTTTTTTCTATTGAACGGCTCTCGCGAGCGTGTTGCGTCGAGTTTTGCGACAGGATCCGATCCTAGAATGAAATTCGAACGGTCGGGCTTGATATTAGTCGCGCGATCTCTTAGAGAAAGACTTAAATAAGTGTTGCGTATAGATACAGTAGGACCTCGACAGTTGCAAGTATCGAGGTTGCAGTTGTCCGGTTAACCACGGCGAAAAGAAAATTCTGTCGTTGCTCGTCTGTTGCCAAGCCACCGTCCCTCTCGCGTTGCAACAGTCGTGCAGATATCGAGGTTTCGCGGCGCGAACATCGGGGTCCTACTGTATGCGTATGTATGTATATATTTTGTTTGTTTGTTTTTTTGTTTTTTTATAAACACACGTATACGTAAATCAGCCATTCGAAGAGCTGAAGGAGCCTCGAGCTGCTTCCTCTTCCGGTTGCCGGTAGCTTTTAGCTCCTTTTGTCGAACAATGATCTCACTAGTATTAAACCGATAAAATATTTTAACGTTAGTGCTAACTGAACTAGTCACTAATGGCGATTGGCCAGAAGCTACAGGCAACCGTTCTATCGAGAGAAAGAGCTGTCGGTGAATATACCGCGCGAAGGAAAGAAGATTAGAAACCGCGCGAAAGGAGAAGTGATATCGCGAGAAAGTAGAAACGTGTACGGGGTTTCCCCGTTAATTTTTGCTCAGTTTCACCGAAAACGTCCGATCCAATTTTCCTCGCAGCTCCTTTCGGGTTCGATCTTTCGTTATTCCATCGATAGTTGCGCGCCTCGCTGCAAAAAGGAACGAACACGATTGCAATAGATTATTGCAACGCTTGTATTGTACGCATATACATGCATGTTTGTGTGTATATATATGTGTGTGTATTTACCACGAGTGCTTTTGAACATTCGCTGTAGTCTGTATTCCACGTCTGTTAAGGATAAATGAGTATTTATACCGATTGAACTGCTACTTGGTCGTCTTGTTTTTCCTTCCTGTCCTGGCGCACCGATTGAGTGGGAGTGGGAGGAGGGGTGGGAGGGGTAGGGTAGAGGAACGTGATCAGCGATTTGTAACGGACACGTGGTTACTCTTACGTAACCAGCGGCGCGCGGGTAGCGATGGGATCAAAGTTTTCGATTTAGTTTTTCTAAAAACGACGATAAGTTTCGGTAAGTATATCGATGGAAAAGAAATTTTTCAATTTTCAAATATAACGTGGAAACGCCAACTTTCAGTTGTTTTTCAAGCAATCCTCGCGAAAGAAAGCCATTCGTTAGTCGTATAGTTGAGGTTATACGTAACGAGCGGTAGGATAACAAATTTGCAAATATCTAACGCTGCCATAATCGCGTTAATATTATTACATAATGAACGATAAAGACGTAACGCCGTTGCGGCGGCTTCAGAGTTTTATAAGAAACTTTCGACGGCGCCTGTGTGGCGCCTTCCGAGTAAGGGGTTAAAATCCATGTCCTTTTCATTGATTAACTTTTTCTGAAAAACAATTACAATGCAATAATTAAACTTGGAACGTTCATTCATGAATTCCTCCACCCCGGAGGAATTTTATCGTTACCTTCTATAGCCTGTTTCAAAATAAATGTCAATTGTACGAGGTGAGGTGACCCGCGTGGTAAACGAATTCTGGTGATCATTTCGTTTCGTACAATCTGAAATTAAAAATAGAGGAATGATTCTATTTATAGAATCCTAATGTAAAAATAAAATAAGTTATTGCATATATTTGAGGTCAAGGAATCTTTCTTTGCTGATCACCCAAGCAGTAATAAATTAATTATAGTGGAGATGACCTATCGATATTTTTCAGCCTGTTACTTCGACCATTAATCATGGTAATTGAATAATTAAAGAAAATAAACTGTTTAAATGCCAACGATACGTTAAGCGAACGTAAAATAGCTATTTAAATTGCATGAACATTTATATATATGTGTGTGCTTTTAGCGCGAAAATTTGAATATCAAATTAAAATTTTCTTTTCAATTTCAATCGTAATTATTCAATTAATTATAATTATTATTATTATTGTTTGTTATGTGACCCGACGTGTCATTCTTCCCAGTTTCTTTCTGGTAAGCTGATTTCTGAACGGTGCATCTTCTGACAGATTGAACTATTAACAGGTCACGTTGGCATCAACGTGTTAGACCATACTCGTGCACGAGAAACGAGCACGATGATAGAATCTTCGTCTTTTCAGCTAGCAATCAGTAGAAAGACACGTCGAATCTACGAGAATTCAATCTTTATTGAAGAATTTCGTGACGAGTACATACTTCGAAACAGTTAAGTCCGCGGTAGCCACATAAAATGCCACGTCTGCAATAGCGTCTCTCACAACCTTCGCAAAATTACACGTATTCAAATCATTGAATGTCCTATGTAACAATTCCCCCAAACCGTAACCGCTATCCTAAGCTCGTTACGCGAAACTTTATATAAGTCGTCTAAAAATAAAACCTCCAGAATCTCGTTTGCACACGTTCTTGTTTACAATTTTCTGTGCACGCGTTGGCGGGATCGTTCGGCGCAATAATAAATTTTATGGTTGCTACGAAGGTCCCTCTGCGAGCGTGGTAATAAAATTTTTAATTCGTATTGGAATAAATTATCCGAAATTAAAATTTATTAAAAGTGGATCGGCTTTGGGTAAAAACTTTTGTATATCGTTATGGGCTGGAATTATTTTCTGCGATCGTTTCGAGCGGACTGCACGTTTCGAATCTATCACTACCTGCAAGTAGCCCATTACACTGACAGCCATTAACCGCTGCACACGGTTCGCTTGTAAATTGGATGATAGTAGCAAACCCACTACGGGACATCGTCTCTCGCTGTTCTTCGTGCAAGTGCACTTCCAGCTGAAGATGATGCCGTTTGGGATAATAGATGATTCAAGGCTCGCCGGGGTGCGCGCGAACTCTTTTATCCGGAAGCGGGATACTCGCCTTGTTTACATTCGCGACGCCATTTCTGTCAGGTTCCGAGGTGGAAAAATGTCTTATTTAAATACATGTCTCGAATAACGTTTAGACAGCAAACGACTGTTTATCGTTAGATAAATATAAATAAAACTTAATTACTCGAACGAATAACATGTTACATGATGATTTTATCGATTATATATTTATACTTCGACTGAATTTTTATTCAGCTTGAATAAATTAACTTCAAAATTAATTATGGTACAGATGACAGTATAGACATATTATTTTTTTTTTTTTTTTTTTTAATTAAGATACAAATTGGTAAACCACGCGGTTGCATAACCTAAAATATTCACTCGAGTTGTGTTCGAACGATTATTTTCTTAAAACTAAATATAATTTAAATATGCATTAGGCTCGTTTGCTCTATTGTAGTCGATGCCAGGTCAACAGACCGCCCAAAGTCACTTTCTTGTCAGTAAATCACTCCTAACAGACCTCCCATTTTTACGCCACGCCCCTCTGAGCCACGGAGAGCAATGGGTACAGTCGAACGGTATAATAGTACCACTAGATCGCGTTTTAAAAATCATTTTACGTAAATGAATACTCTACTTAATTCTCGAACATAATTATATTTTACGTTTGCCTGTCTGAGTCGAATGGATTAAATTTTAATTAAGTCTGATCTAAGTGTAAATCAATTTTATTTAGTTATTAAGGACCCTAACAAGGTAAATGTTGAATACTCGTAGTTTTTTTATTCAAAATCACGGTAACGACGTTCGTGGGAACCGTCAGAATCCCATACACGGAATTACGTCCGGATTGTTATAGCACACCTTCTCGTCAGGGCAACACATCTTCGCAACTTTCAGGAAAATTTGCGTATTCAGAGCCTTGGAATTCCTGGGCATCCTTTCGCCCATCTCCCTGTGGAGTTCCTCGAGTTCTACAGCGCTCAGGTCGTAGCCAAGAAGCTCGTCAGGATCCTGCCAGTTAAAATTAAGCGTTATTAAGATGTTTAAAAATATTATCAAAACTTGGAATACACTAGAACGCTTTATTTTAATCCTGTCAACATTTTTAAAGCAAACAGTGTATCCGTAGCAATTTCTTTCGTTGTATAAACAATTTAATTCGCGACTGAAGTACGGGAGAAATTAATTGGCCGCTCGAGGCTATCCCCACCACTCTGACTCTATCTGTTACAAAAAGCTTAACTGATATTCTGTACTTCTGGTACACTTTTGTCCATGACAAGTTCTACATCTTTTAATATACTTCGTCTAGTGTTATTCATAAAATGAATATCAATAAATACGATCGTTAAGTACTTTGCTCACAGAATGCCTAAATTCAGGATTCATCATCGATCCCATAGGCTGGTATGGCATGGGCAAGTAAGCCTCGGGTCCGAACTGTTGGTTAACCGTATCAGTCTGACGGTCGTCGTAGAAATTTAATAATGGAGTCGCCAATTCCGTAATATGATGGCTTCCCGCCATTGAACCCGAGTATCCACCTGGCAGTCTCGGTGGTAATCCCCATTGTCGCTTTCGTTGGATCATGGGTGGCACGTTGTCCGTATCTACCGCGTCTAAAAGTCAGATTCTCAATTGATTGATTCATTCACGAACACTTCAAACGCCCATTTATTTTAAATTACATCCCCAATTCGAATACTCCGGCAATAAATACTCCAATTGTTCACTTATTCTAGTCCCTTGGTCGACTCTGATAGCTCACCAATTTTCATCTGGTCAGCCAATATATCCTGATCGAGGTCCTCGGTGGTTCGTTTGATCCTGCGTCCCTTGCAGCTGTTCAATATGACGTTCCTGGCGATGTTCTTGCAATTCAAAGATTGTCGTCTTTCGTCGTTGGCGACCGCCACTGCGACGAGCGCCGCGACGAAAAGCGCGACGCGGATTGTTTGCTGCGCTCGATGCATGCTCGTTAACGAAATGAGGTTGCCAGCTATTTACAAGTCGCGAGATTCTCGATCGAATGGTCCTTGTGCTACTCAAGACGTCCGTCGATCCTTCGTAACTTTTAATCCCGCTGTTATCCGCTGAAACGTGTCGCTGGCACGTTCTTGCAATCGGCTTTGTTTTCACATTCCGATCGTGTTTGATGCAATTCGTTATCGCGCGTCCCGAGAATGCCGTTCTCGCCTTCGGGCAGGTGAAACAGGCCGCATTTGCGTTTCATTTGCGACAAAACGCAGATCAGTCAAAATTGGATCCATCCGTAACTTCAGGGGAAAGTAAACAACATAAATTCTACCATTTTCTATGGAATAATCTGATCACTCGTTGGTCTAACGAACTATTTCCATTCGGTTGATCAAAGAAAACGTACGTATTGTATTGTATTCAGCGCCCGAATGAAATAAAAGAAGAACGATCTTGGCAAGTGGCCGCGAAGAAAGAGATCGCGCCGCCATGTTGGTAGTCGCGAGAATTAGCAGGATATATCGAAACTCGCACGGTTCGTAAAAATTTCGTCTGCGAACCGGTCGGTTAAGCGAGACAGATGAGGTCGTCTACAGAGAGCCGCCGACAACGTGGCAAGCGCGAAATAGTTTAGATCAATAACGATGATTCCGATGATTATCTTCACTCCGTGGAACTCCTTGCGTGGCCAGGGAGCGAAAGGGAGACGGAGGAACGTGTGTGTGACCCCCTTTGTGTGGAGACGATGCAACGGCCAGTGTAATAGGAGTTAATCAAAAAAAGTAGGGAAGACAGAGACGGGAAACAATTGAAGATTGGCTCCGGCGTCGCGTCGAGACGTTTGCAATTAGCTGGCGCACCCGAGGGCACGATGGTCTAGTCGCTAATTTCGTCTGATGTAATAGGAATGGTCGTGCAGGAATTTGATTTCAGGGTGAGACGAGGAGAGATCGTTCCTTTCTCTGTCTTTTCCATTCGTTTCCCCAGCGATCGCGGGTCGCCGTATGACGTACGGTGTGACTTTTATTTTAAAATACACTATTGGAGACTCGTAGTACGGTACTTCGTAACATCGTTAATGCACAGTTATCGTACGCAATGCACCTTATCGTGGGTCACCGATTACTCGTGGAGAACTTTCCGTTTAGATCGTACGAGACTTTCTCTATTAACATCGCCACGTACATCAGAATATCGTGGATCGCCGTGGGTCATCGTCGATACGCAAACTTTTCGTGCTCGAGAAGAAAGAGACTCGCTTGTTACGCAAACTGACAAAAAATGCACGTGCCAATCATAAAGATCTGATCGTTCGTTATAATAGATCAAGAGTTTATCGCGGCGTCGATAGTGACCGCCGCGCAAAAATCAAATATATTTTCCACGTCGGCAAAAAAATATACTCCGCGTGCTTGCAAAGCAGCAGTTGCTCTGAAATATTCTAAATAACCGATGTAATCGCAATTATGCAGGCGCGTGAAGTATCGTCGAAATAATCCTGTTTTCGTAACATTTCGTCGAGCGGCGAAAACAACATACAAAATATTTTTCTCGAATCGTCTAGAACATTATTACTACGGCGAATATAATTTATAACGTACGAAATTCACGAACAAGTTATTTGCTTCTTTAAACTCAATTAAGGTCTATTCAGTTCAGTTTGTTTTCTGGGTCAGTGGTGCCCCAGTTAAAGTATTGCATTAACGAAGATCGCTTATCCCTCGAGATATAAATTAATAATATCATGTAAAAAAAAAAATATTATTATAATCTGTCGGGCATTCGGATTTTCATATTTTTTACGTACGTGCCTTATATAAATCAAGTTATTAGTAAGTACGTGATCTGCGACGTCCGAATAACTGAATGCTATCGATTATGCGATTTAGTGACGTCTAATTGAATAATTTATGTTTCGAGTATGCACTATCTTGGTTTATTGTATATTTGCAAATGTTTTTCCATGTACTTGTAATTTTTATCTGTTAAATACTTAACATCGTTTCTTTTCGTAAATAAATAACATCACAAATTTATATAACTCGTACATATTATTTCCATCAATATCTTTCTGTTTAGTACAATTTTAGATGGCTATAATTGAACCATAAACCAAACAAATCCCTTCTACAGATTTTTTGCATTTACTAAAACAAAATTCTGGTAGAAGTAACTTTACTTGCGATAGAAACGAAGACAACGGGTTGCATATCTTCAGGGATCGTTTACGATACAACGTGTCGCCATCGTATAGCATCGGTCGGTTTATAACCTTACATAGATAAAGAAAACTCCCTGCAATATTATATCACAGACGTGTGCTAGGATTATAAAACGATCTAGACTATTCTAGACGCGAGTAACATATAAAAGTCGCCATTTTCTATTTCTTTCGATCCCTTTTCATTCGTATAAATCGATACGCGAAACATTTTACGAACACGCGATCGTACGGTCGTTTGAAATCAAAGTATTTTAGTACAGGGACAAAAACCGAGATACGAATTATTATCTTTGTAAATTATGAACGCTTGAGCGATATTTAACAAAAGAAACAATTACGAAAGTTTCGAAGATTTTTCGATCTACGTGGAGGCTTAGACCGTGGCGCTACCTGTCCTTACTTCAGTAGTTCCCGTGGTCTCCTGATTGGGGGGTTGACACGTATGCTGTTTCCCTAGTTTTCAGATTTGCATAAATGTCAGTTGATCACCGGAAGAATATTGTTGTCCTTTATTTTTGCGTGATTTTCTCGTGATCAGGTACGTCTAACGCCATCGACGCCCACAAATTCGTGTGCGTTCGATGTGTTGCACGATATAGCTACACTCGAACATAACCTCACTTTCGATCTATTCCGCGGACAACATTACTTCTTACTCATATCATTATTCATTTTTCAACAGTGAACTATACGTCGATCAATTTTATTTTCCAGATCACAAGACTAGTTTTTCTTGGCACAGTGTGAGAAACAATAGCAAAAATGAGCACGGTCGTTGAACAACCTTGCTACACTTTGATAAACATTCCGACCGATTCGGAGCCGTTAAATGAGCTCCAACTGAAGCAAGATCTCGAAAAGGGCGATGTTCAAACGAAAATCGAAGCCCTTAAGAAAACAATTCATATGATACTGAGCGGGGAACGCTTGCCAGGACTTCTGATGACTATTATTAGATTTGTCCTGCCCCTGCAGGATCACACAATTAAAAAGCTTCTGTTAATATTCTGGGAAATAGTTCCAAAAACGTCTCCTGATGGCAAGTTGCTGCAAGAAATGATATTAGTCTGCGATGCTTATAGAAAGGACTTGCAGCATCCGAATGAATTTGTCAGAGGTTCAACTCTTAGGTATTAGCCGTACAAATGGTTTATCACGTCGATTGAAGCTTGCATAAATGCAAGAATACTTTTGCATCTTTCAGATTTTTGTGCAAATTGAAAGAGCCAGAACTTCTGGAGCCACTGATGCCAGCAATAATTGCCTGTTTAGAGCACAGACACTCCTATGTCAGGCGTAATGCTGTTCTGGCTATTTTTACAATTTACAGAAACTTTGAGTTTCTCATACCGGATGCGCCAGAATTGATAGCAAAATACTTGGAGGGGGAACAGGATATGTCGTGTAGGAGAAACGCGTTTTTGATGCTCTTGCATGCCGATCAGAGCACAGCGTTGTCTTATTTAGCTTCTTGTCTGGACCAAGTGCCCAGTTTCGGCGACATACTGCAACTGGTTATCGTCGAATTAATTTACAAGGTGCATACGCGCGGCAAAATTTTCTAATCTTCATTCGTCTTCGATTCTAGAGCGTACGCGTTTCCAGGTTTGCCTCGCGAATCCATTGGAAAGGGCGCGTTTCATCAGATGCATTTACAGTTTGTTGAATTCCCCGAGTGCTGCCGTTCGTTACGAAGCGGCTGGCACTCTGGTGACGCTCTCCAGCGCGCCCACGGCGATCAAGGCCGCGGCTTCTTGCTACATCGAATTGGTCGTCAAAGAAAGCGACAATAACGTGAAACTGATCGTATTAGATCGTTTGATCGCGATGAAGGATAGCCCCGTCTACGAAAGAGTCCTTCAGGACCTGGTCATGGATGTACTCAGAGTTCTAGGTGGGTTTCAGAAGCAAATGCACTGAGAATGTTCATCGGGAAGGGAAACGTTCGTTCGTGTTGCAGGTTCGCCGGCATTGGAAGTCAGAACCAAAACGTTGGCTCTGGCCATGGATTTGGTGACCACTCGTACGATCGAGGAAATGGTCCAACTTCTGAAGAAGGAAGTGCTCAGAACGGCTGGCGGGGAACACGAAGATGCTGGCAGATATCGTCAGCTTCTTGTGCGGACTTTGCACGCTTGTTCCATTAAATTCTCCGACGTGGCGGCTACAGTGATTCCTGTGCTGACGGATTTCCTCTCGGAGAACAACGAGGCCGCAGCCACGGACGTATTGGTGTTCGTTCGCGAAGCGATTCAGCGTTTCGAGAACCTCAGACCGCTTATCGTTGAGAAGCTTCTTGAGGTAGGTATCTCGAGCAGTCGCTTACGTCCATCCTTGATTAAGTTATTCTCAATATCTTGTTTGTTTGTATGCAGGTGTTTCCACATATCAGATCCGTGAAAGTGCACAGGGCGGCCCTGTGGATTCTCGGTGAATACGCAACGTCCAAGGAAGACATAGAGGCAGTGATGGGTCGTATACGAGCTGCCCTGGGAGAATTGCCGTTGCTCGAAGCAGAAAACAAACGTCAGGCTGGCGAGAAGTCGGTGGATGACGGAAACACCGACGCTGCACCGGCGCAATTGGTCACGTCGGATGGAACCTATGCTACTCAGAGTGCATTCAGCGCGGCATCTTCACGTAATTATCTCTTCCTCCAACACGACCATCAGGTATCAACCGGGTTATCGTTTTAATAATTGCTTGGTGGAGCTGCAGGGAAGAAAGAAGAGAAGCGTCCAGCGTTGGTTCAGTACATGATGGAGGGCGACTTCTTCATTGGCGCCTCTTTGGCTACCACCTTGGCGAAGTTAGCGCTCCGCTACAAGAGTCTCGAGAGCGATCTTCAAAAGAGCAATCGTATGCAGGCGGAGGCGATGCTGGTGATGTCCAGCGTGTTGCAGTTGGGCCGTTCTGGTCTTCCCACGAAGGCAATGACCCACGACGACGCTGAACGGCTGTCCTTGTGTCTGAGGTCCTTGGCCTGCCCGATGCCGCTGGTTCAAAAAGTGTTCACCGAGGGTTGCCGCGACGCTCTTGGCAGAATGTTAGCAGCGAAGGCCGAGGAAGACTCGCAGAACCAAAAGGTTAGTTATTGAGGAGAGATGCTTTTATTCAAAGAGAATCGATTCATCGAAATGAAGAAAATTGGCTTGTATATGATCGCAGGCGAAGGAGAAGCCAGGTAGCATCGTCCAGGTGGACGACGCGATCCAGTTCCTACAGCTGAGTCGTGGATCGGATCTAGCCGGCGGAGCTGGTGACATGTTCGAGCAGAGCCTTAGCGCGGCCGTCGCTGGAAGACCTGGTGCTGCCGGAGATGCCCCAGCACCGAGTGCTTTGAGCAAGGTCACCCAGCTGACTGGCTTTTCAGATCCCGTTTACGCCGAGGCCTTGGTCCACGTTAATCAATACGACATCGTGCTGGACGTCTTAATAGTAAATCAAACCGAGGATACGCTGCAAAATTGCACGTTAGAGCTGGCGACGATGGGCGATTTGAAGCTCGTGGAGAGGCCACAGCCTATCGTGCTCGCCCCGAGGGACTTCGCGAGCATCAAAGCGAACGTGAAGGTGGCATCCACGGAGAACGGAATAATATTCGGAAATATAGGTGCGGTTGTGAAGCGTATCGAAACGAAGGTTAGCTTAGGTTAGAGTACATGATCTAAAATATGTCGATCGTTTTTGTTCAGTGTACGACGTGTCCGGTGCTGGGTCCGATAGGAGCGTCGTTGTCCTAAACGATATACACATAGATATTATGGATTATATAGTGCCTGCAACGTGCACCGACGCAGAGTTCCGACAAATGTGGGCAGAGTTCGAGTGGGAGAACAAGGTGTCCGTAAACACGACGTTGTCGGATCTCAGGGAGTATCTTGCCCATTTATTGAAGTCCACGAATATGCGCTGCCTAACCCCGGAAAAGGTACGTAATTTTAATTTTCACGGTCTATGGAACGGAAATACAGTCAACTCGGTATTATAATACTGTTTTCAGGCTCTTTCCGGACAGTGCGGGTTCATGGCTGCTAATATGTACGCGAAATCAATATTTGGTGAAGATGCATTAGCAAATATGTCTATCGAAAAGCCATTGAATAAACCGTATGCACCGGTGGTCGGCCATATTCGTATCAGAGCGAAGAGCCAAGGAATGGCATTGTCGTTAGGAGATAAAATTAATTCCACGCAAAAAGGTCCACATAGTAAAGTTGTTCAGGCTGCTTAAGCCGCATAGTTTTAAATCTATCCCCTCCGACGTCAGTATTCGAATTGTTTCGATAAAAATGTACCCCAATTTGATTCGTCTGATCCAAATGGCGCCTCCCTCCATTTTCCTTTGCCAATTTCACAATTTCAATCTTTTGCATTAGACATTCAGGTATATTCTATACGATATACGCTCGTACTAATTTCGGCGCCATTTTTATTTTACTTTTCCTTTGTTTTGTACCGTAAATGCCGTCGAACGATGATACTTACGTATCTGTAAGTGAAGACAATGTAGTACACACGATACTTTAGCTATAAGCCTGTATTTTATTTAATTAAAACTGATCTTTCTGATACATATTTTTTAAGGAATAAAGAACCAACACTACACACTCGTTTTCAGTGCCAGTTTATTCCCGTACGACATAAAAATATTCCAGAGTGCGATATGCTTCGACGAAGTGCCTGATCTATTTGCGCCCGTGAATAAAAAAAAAGTTGACTCGATTTGTACGATCTCGTACTGCTAAGACGACGTTCGGTACATTGTTTTAAACATTTTCGCGATTTGATATTTTACAACCAACCTCCCCTTCGAGGTGATCTGCTGGTCGGAAATCGCGGCGATTTCGGCATAACCGATACCAATTTTTCCTTATCCTCTGGTGTACCCGACATCCCAATACTCGTAATTTTTTTAGGACTTACTGTTGGCTTTACTCGCGATTTGATCGTTCGATTATCGGTAGCAGGCCCAGATAACATGGAATCTGTGGCTGCATTAGGTTGGTGGCCAAGTCTCGATGAACCAGATGGAACTTTGGGGGCGTTCATGGAATGGATGGACAGTGTTGATGCTTCTGTAATTTACAAATAAAATTTGAACAAAAAAAAACAAAGAAAATGTTTAAGCTTGGTTGTATCCAGAGGGTTTCGATGTCCTGCAATAGTGAAAGTGCTGTTACATAATAGACAACACTCATGTAAAAGTCGAATGACGAATCGTGACATATAGTAACTTTCTTCGAAAATCACTAGCGGCGTATGCGATGCCATTTTGTATCTAGCCTTCACATCCAATATGGACGTCGTACCATTCTAAGGTTAAGAATGGATGGAACTTAGAATATTTTCTAAGACAGGTTTCATAGAATTAGAAACAAAATACAGGAACGGGATTTTTACATTTATTAACTCCGGTGGTTCGCTTGCATATGGTTCCCAAAATCATAATCTTAAACCATAGACGAGGTATAGACTAGATGTTGCATGCAATGCTTTTTTCTGACGCAAAAATTTTCTTATCACTTCCGTATCACTTCCAACGTTATCGGTACACATTGGGATTCGAATTTGAAGAATTTTTTTCTCGAGACTGCGTTGGATTTTGAGGGTACGTCTATTCACCAAAAATGATTGTAATTGACCCCCGCAATAGAAAATAATTTTTTTAGAACGATTTGAAATTTTTTTTTTCGCCGAAAATTTAGGCACCAACCCCCTGTCGATTTTTCTTAGAAATTCGTTTTTGATTTTTAGTAATTTTGTTTGACGCTCTACAGAAAAGTTGTCTAATACTTTTTTTGACGGTATCCATGGGCTCTACTTCAGAAAAAAATTTCAATGAAATATATTCACTATTGTAGAAGTTATGGCCGTTCGAAAATTGAATCATTTTTATGGGGGTTTTCCCATTTTACGGGGTTAAGGAGTAACTTTTTGAATATTTTTGGAATTTCTACATATTCTCCATCAAAATACGCGTTATTTGCCTTTTGAAACTTTAAAATCGTCCAATCCGTTCAGAAGTTATGACGTTTTAAAGATACGCATGAAATTTCGGAGAGACATTTCTGGCTAAAAATTATATTTTCGGTAATGAATTTTTTTCTCATAAGTGCGTAGAATTTTCTCTAAAGTATTGATTTTTTACGATGTTGGTACTTCAATGCACGAACCAGAAATTCTTATTAAACGTTAGATCCATTGTACACTTCATTAGTGATAGTATTAATTATAATCTAAAAATTTATTTTCAAGCAATTGGTTTAAATCTTTAGTGCCACGGAATAATTTACTAGCGCTCTACCGAGCCTTACCAGTCGATTGTTGGCAGGTCGCCGATGATAAGTTTGGAGATTTTCGTTTGCTGGTGCACGATGGCGTTCGAGGCGGCACCGATGGTGTACCTTTACTAGATTTCTCGTCGACATAGTCCATCGATATCACTGGCTTCGGCTGTAAAAGAAAGTATACTTGGGGGGGGTGCTTTAAGCAATTAACAATCTTTTTATAAATAGTAATATAAGACTGTAAACAGTGGTATTAAATAATTTATGTTACTACCTTATTGGGCTTCGATTAAATCCTGCTTTTGCTCTTACCTACTCTTACCTTAATAACACGTGCATCGGGACTGGCCGTCACTGTCAGTTTGGGAGGATCAGATGATCCTTCCTGAGGGGCTTCGTCGGTTTCGACAATGTCTTCAAGAACGTGAAGAATCGTCGCCGCCGTGCTCTCGGGTAGTTCGATAGGCGACACAGGTGACAAAGGGCATTTGCTAGTCAGCTTCTGTGCTTCCTCCATGGCTTTCTTCAAGGTCTGCTGAGAGGCCTTGCTGTTGCTCTTACCGATTTGTGAGCTTTTAATAGCACTGTTCACGACCTGCAATCGGTCCCTTCGTGCAAAACTATCTACAAACTCCGGTGTAACAATTTCTAGAGAATCGAGATCGTACTTGGGTCCAACGATGGTTAGGCGATCGCATCACGGCCAGCTTGGCGATTCTTTTCCATCTGGCAACGTTGTCCTCGCCTTCGGCGGGTGGTTGAAGAGTCGCCATCTCCTCTATTTCTGATCCTGCGACCGGAGCTGCCACTTGGAAGTCCTTCATCAGCCTCCTCTCCCAAACCTTCATTCTCTTGCCTAGAACAGCTGGATACCATTTATATCCATTAGCAACGATTTTGTCACAGTCGTTCCTCGTTCTCTTTCCAGAAACAAGAGATAGCAAATTATGCGCAAAGACAATTCCATTGTAATTAATATTCCAGGACCTAGTCTCTCCGTTAAGATTTTCTCCTTGGTTGGGGATGATTGTGCTTACTTCTTTCTTTGGTGTCAGCGCCATTGATGTCCATGCCATTCCGCCTGAGGATCTCCAGCAGCTCGCACCGCCACGAGGACAGGTCCGACTTGAGCTCGTGAATGTCGTCCTCGGTAACAGGATCCATTTCGTGCTCGGAGTGTGAGTTCACGACGTATCGCCATACCAGGGCCCTCATAACGGCCCCGTACCTAGCGCAAAAAAACGTACAAATAAGCTCCGTCGTAAAAGACGAGAGCGCCTGGGCTCCCGCGTCGACGCCGTTATCGAGTCGTTATGTTCTTCTAGAGATCATAAAATTGCCATCCAGTATCATTATTACTTGTAGCCGTGCGTTCGCTTGTAATCGCTCGGCTGTCTGGCAACCCGTTTCCTCTGCAGACCGCACAGCCTGAACAGCAGTTTAGGCGGCGGTAGGACGTTGAACGGGGGCGGAAGCGTGCCGCCTTCCTCGAAGTAGCTCATCCACAGCTTCGTTCTTGCGAACTTCCACTCCGTGTCTGCGCGTTCCTGCCAAGTTAAATAAGAAAACGTGAGCCCCCTCGGCAAAGAGGTTTGCGATGGTGGCGCCACATGTCGCTTTCCAAGATGGCGGGAACAGCTGAGCGCGAGGGGACACTGTCTCGCAACTTCTATCGAAGATTTTCGCCATTCGAACCTATGAGAGTGAGTCAATAATTATCAGCAATTATTGTCCCCGTTGGCAAGATTGTCTATAGGTAGTCTCCATCTTATTGCTTCTATACAGTTTTGTTATTGGTTATGTTAGCCGTTTGCACCATTTAAATAGAATTGACTCACTCTAGTATTTTGCATGCATACTTCATAGCTAAAGACCCGTGTACCTCGATCATGGCGTAGCTGTTGCTCATCATAGCTATCAGGAGATTCAGCAGAACGATCACGTTGATCACGGAGTACGAGCCGAACATCAACAAGCCCCAAAATCGAGTGTAAGACTTGATTCCTGAAAATCCAATCGAGCTTACGGAACCGTCTTGCGCTTGCACCTTCAACTTACCGGCGAGTTCGAAGCTGTCTATCCCAATGCCGCCGAAACTGGCCCAGAACAAACTCTGACAGGACTCGAAGAGACTGCTGAAGCTGCATAGACAAGAAAAAAACGATCGGGGGTAGTTTTTAACGGACTGACAATGACATTGTGCCACGTACCTTCGCCATCGTAAGCAGGACTCACTGGCTGCGTCCCAGGAGGGATCTCCGAAGTTGATGTAGCACTTCTTTCGTTCCAATTCAGCGAAGTACCAGAGTAACTGATTCAACCCGCAAGCGAAGGCAAAGAGCACCAGGGTGTAGATGAAGAAGAATTTCACAATGTCTATCACCATCCTGCCTAGGGATATCTGAGGCAACAGGCTTATTAACCACGTGTCGTGAATAGAACATCATTCTACGAGAGTCAATGAAGGTACCTGAAGAGGACCCAGATGAGGATTGATGCTGAACAAATGGATCAACTTCAAAGCACTGAAGACATTGGCCCCCGCGAACAGACCTTCGGCTATCAACTGAGGATCAAAATCGCTCCAGGTTTCCCTGGGCACCATGGCCGCCATCGCGTCCTGTTTTATTTCAGTCCTTTGCTGAAGGTACGCGGCTATTCTCAACACCGCGGTTCCGACGTAGAGAAAATTCCTGGTAAAATCGATGAAGTTCCACATGTCTCGCAGATACGCCTTCAATCCATCCACGTAAGCCTTGAAATTTGAACGCAACACGTGCCTCTGTAAGCACTTCTTTATGCTCAAATTTACTACTCGAAGGAAGACTAATCTGCTACACCGGAATAGCTATTTTGCTTATTTTTATTGGTCAGGTACTTAGTACCTTTGAGTCTATAGTACTCTAGAACACTTAACATTCTAGTGTTCTCAGTACCTTTGAGTTTATAGTACTCTAGAGCACTTAACACCCTAAAGTTGTTAGTCCCTTTGAGTCTATAGTACTCTAGAACACTTAACATTCTAGAGTTCTCAATACCTTTGAGTTTATAGTACTCTAGAGCACTTAACACCCTAAAGTTGTTAGTACCTTTGAGTCTATAGTATTCTAGAGCATTTAACACCTTAGAGTTCTTAGTACCTTTGAGTCTATAGTACTTTAGAGTCGTTAGCTTCTTAGTAGCAACTTCAAGCAACAAGATGTAAGAAGAGAATTTAATCTTTGGTCGAAGCATCTTAACTACAATAGTAAAAATATAGTTGCTGGACATCTCCAGTACCTCTCTCATCTCTTGCCAAATAAATCCAAGAACGTATAAGACAACGATACCCTCTAAAAACGACGGGGCAGCGCCTCGTTGCCTAGCCAGATCAATTTCAATGTTCCTCTTCGCCTTCTGGCTGCTGAAAATTTTCACTAGTTCCACGTCTGCACGTTGCGACACCAATATGAGGATAACTGCAACGATCGTTCTTACTCGTAGCTTCATTGTGTATTACAATTAGATGGATCTGAAGACTCACATAGAAAGAATACGTAGGACGAGGCGTGAACAAGGAACTTGACGAACGGCCTTCGCATCTGTTGGCCATTCTTTGATCTAGGCGCCAGGAAATACATTATGCAATAAAAGGGGAACAGCATTGAGGTTTTTGCGACCACTCCGAACCTCTGCAAAGTGGACATGCGTCGAAAACCAGGTAAACCGTCGTACCTTTAATTGCAAATGGAAATTCAATCACAAATTAATGCACTTAAAGAGACGAAGTATTATTAACAGAGGTGTTCGCTTCGTTCCATTGTCTCGAGAAGATAATGAGCGAAACGGGCTTCGCAATTTTCTCGCGGCAATTCCGGAATGGTGATTCGGTAAATTCAAAAGCGGGAAAGTTGAAATAACTTGTTAACGAACTCACCAAATCGCCGCCAAGAGTTGCTGTACCCGGGGATGAGCGACGAAAGTTTTCTGTTTATATTGTATGGCCAGCTCCAATCTGGCCAAATGCTTCGTGACCAAATTGTTCTCGTCGTCCGGGTCGTAGTTGAGTATGGTATACAGTTCAGTCGTGGTTCGCACTTGTTGCAGCAGATCGACGGCGAACCTAATTAAAACCGAAGGGTGACGTAACACTTGATCCTGTTAAGTGTTAATATTCTCGCGTTTACAGGCACACAGCTATGGAAGACGTGCTTACACCACGCATTTCCGAGCTGGAATGTTACTATGGTGCTACTACAATAATGTACATAATTCATTCTCTAATACCATCAGCGTCTTATAAATCCTAGTAGTCAAACTGAGGAATTATGACCCTCTATGTAAATAGGGACCCATATCAACCTAGTCGTTTTTAAAACTTAGTTGAGGTAACTGCATCAAATGGATCATATATGAATTTAGCTGCAATGCTGGAGAAATTTTGGGTTCAATAACAATAAATGATAGATCTAGTAGAATGATCCTTACTTCTCTACTTGCTTACGAAGCTTCAAGTACTCTCCCCTGCTCTCTGGTTCGGCGATCGCCAAGTCACGAAGTTCCCAGCTTAATTGGAAGGCAGTTAACAGAGGATCTGGTGAGCTCAGTGCTATCAAGCATCGACTGGCCAAGGCCTTGTACTCGGACATCCTAGTAGCCGATAGTCTAAGAGGATCACCTAAGTACCAAGAAAGGAGATCGACATTGAAGATCACTGTCCACCTGGATACCTTAACATCTTAGAGTTCTTAGTACCTTTGAGTCTATAGCACTCTAGAGCACTTAACATCTTAGAGCTCTTAGTACCTTAGAGTCTATAGCAAAGATCTCGTTGTGCAGGAATTTAATGGATGTCTCACCCGTGGTAGATCGAAGGCAATCGCTACATCCGCACTTGATGTCGTGTGGCATGGGTAAGCTCGCCCCGCGATCCAACAATAACTTCAAGATCTCGTAATTATTACGCTGCGCGGCCAGAATCAGGGGAGTTATTTCCGGTGCATACCTAGCGGATACCGGATCGACTTTCTGCCAACTGTGAGTGATCTCTTGAACGTCTACGAAGGAATAATGTGAAAATGTTACAAAACTTTACGAAGCAGGTCCATTGAACATCCTCAACCGATGGCAAAAGTAGTCTCACCATTGTTTTCGGCTATGGAATCGGCAGTGAGAAGTTCCTCGTGCTCCAAGAGCAGTTCGACAGCCTCCACAAATTCCTGATCGATCGCGCGAAGAAGGGAGTCCTTCGTCTCGACGCCCAACACGATCAGCAGCTCGACCATCTCCAAATTTTCCGCCTCGATCGCCAGGGACAGGGCACTGCGACCAAGACTGTCCATGCAGTTTATGTCTACCGACTTGCCCTGAAAGTCAGGACACAGTTCCGATGGTTCCTCGTTCCTTATCAGACAGAAATATAAAAATTCTGGCGGATGACTCACGTTAACGCCGCCCTTGTTAGCCGACTGAATGAATCTCTTCACGTTGACCAGGTCGCCTCTTTCCACCGCCAGCAAGTACTTCTTCTCCTCGATGTTCAGGGGCCTGGGCAGATGGATGGTGTAGCTTTCTGTCTCGCTGGGAGGAGACTCCAGTTCTTTCTCGGACTTTTCACAGCCCATTTTGGACCACGGTTTGCACGTGGATCCCCTGACAGCCACTGTTGAAGAAGCCAAGGTGGTAAACGTCAAGGTGCAACTAGTTGTATCGACGTTTGCGAAGGTGCGAAGAAGCGTGACAATGTTTGGTTGATCTACCCAGGTTATTAAGAGATCGTGGACCCGATGGTGGTGTTGGGAAACCAGACTCAACCAAAAGGAAACGTCTTTAGATGCAATTGCACTGGGAGTTAAGATGAGTCGCTTAAGTATGTCCTGGTGTAGCTAAAGATAGATACTGTGGGATCTTCGAAGCTTGGTGTTATAGGTAAGTCAGTCCCAGGTATACTAGAGCAACGCCCAAGTTGCTAATTGAGAGTTGGTAGGTGGTGGTTCAAGAGGTGTGTAGCAGGTGATAGAATGAGATCAGTTGAACGACCCTCCAGGTGGCGTGCTCCGACAGTACTGGCATACTTGTCGCTTTCCAGCAATACGCTATCTTCGTCATTCCATCAACCATTTTAACAGTATACTGTCTACCTTGCAATTTACTAATTATGTCATCAAGAGGTCTATTAATGGAAGCTAGTGATCGATAAAAAGAGAGTATAATCACAAATTGCTCTCATGAAAATAAGACATTCTGATACACCTGCCTTGCCAAAGAGTTAATTGATTAGAGAAGAGAACTATAGAGTTTCAATTCTCATTTGACCACTAACAGTTACATCCTATGTTCACTAGGTTAATAAAGAGACCAGTTTAGAAACTAAAACTTCTGCTTAAAGGTCTAAACTAACACCACGATGCTGTTCCCAATTACGAGAGGTCTCAACCATTGATGGAAAACACTTAGTACTGCCCTAGCAGTAGCTAGGGGACCTGTTCTTAATTATTTACGAACCTCGGTCGTTTCCCCCGCCACGTCACGCCCGCACAAGATCCACGAGTCCCCGCAGTTTACTCAGTTTTTGGTATCGGAACAGCACTCCGGTCGACACTAAAAATCCCACGAGGTGAAAGGTCAATATCGTGAAATCGTTCGAGGGAACGACATGGGGCTCCGCGAAGCCGCAAACGAAGGGAAGTTTGCAGCTAAACACTGGTCGTCCACCGGCCGCGCTTATATAGCGGATGATGGAAATCGAATTACGAGCATTAACCGAGACCCTGTTTACTTGTCCGGTTGTTTAAAGTACCGCAAACACGCGGACTAATTTGCTTACCGATATCTCGTTAGCCACGCGAGGGATCGTTAGAAGGTGCCAGGCACAGAGAATCGAACAGTGTTCGTACAATACGAACGGAGATGATCCGGAGTGGTTGATGTCGTTTGGCGACGCCATGCTTTTACCTCGAGCTACAGTCCATCAGCTTGGCGCAACACGAGGAACGCGATGGTGCATTTTAATGCATCCTGTGAATATTCACGACTCGGTCAACCCGCGAGGATTGATATCTTTCAAGGATGTCAGAGGTTCGTAAAATCCGACTGTCGATGGGGGTTTGGAGCCATCAAATTACAGCTCGAGGAGCACGTACCGTCTTTACAACTCTGCAATACGATCGTCCCGGATCGGTGCTTTCACGCGATTCCTTTTTTTACGAGGATTGTCCACTCAAACGACCCCTAAAACTGACGACCCCCCCTGGCCCGTTGATTTTCCGCGTCGGTCGATACGGCGCGGGCAGAAGGCAACGAACGACAGGAGCAACAGCGCCCGGCGAATCAATATTTGGCTATTAATTCGGTACACAGTGCAGCCTCGGATCAACAGTTCGTCGATGTCGCCACGAAACGCGCTAGAAAACACGTGCAACGTGCGAATCGAATGCCCCCCGATCCTCGAATCGAGGCTACAGTCAGGGTGAGATCGAGTGACGGGTCAAGGCCGCCTTCTGGATCGTAAATTACCGCGGACATAACCTCCACTTCTGCGTTATGTTAGCTCACGTTTGTATTAGGAATTTGAATGAGCGAAATGCAACGAGAGTCTTCATTTGAATTTCAACTTTAGCTGAGGCATTAAAAAGTATTAAACAGATGTTTTTTTATTGGTTAATATTCATATCGAAGACAAGGATGAATTATCTCCTCGATTGAACGTTTTAAAAACTAATAGAGTTGCAGAAAAACATTAAATAGTGTGGGACTTAGATTTCTGGTGAGTAAGATCTGAATAAGAAGTTCATGAGATCGTAGATGGTGCCACTGTAGTCAGCTGGAACATCAGTTCATAGATATCGGAGGTGGCGCCATTGCAGACAGTTGGATCACTTGCTTATAGCCTGATTTATTTACATATTCAATTATTTTTCATCTTTATCCATTACTTTTTGATGTGTTCAAATAAATAAATATGTTATTTGAACATAACCTAAATTTAACTCGATATTGTATTCCCTCGTGTTTGACATGCGCATAATGAGAACGAAGCAGCTAAGAAATCGCGTAACGTCTTCGTGGCAAAGGCCTCAAAGTAACCAGTATTAAGGCCGGTTAACAACGCAATCCACAGAGTTGCAGCTGAGAAATTCATTAAACTGGCTCTGTATTAAAATGTTGAGCCGCGGGAGGACGAAGGTGGCTGGATTCATAAGCAAGAAAAGAAGCCAGCTGTTTACGCCGCGGCTTCATCCGCTCCGCCGTCGTTTCGTGCAATGTTTGCTCGGTGGCTCCATCCACGGAAGATGGTCGGCCATCATGGATCAGCTCGTCCCATAATTAATGCGAATTTTCTTTCATATTTTGTTTTTTTGTAAAATCTAAAGGAAAGTTAATAAATTCTACCTTCGCGCGTGCCCCATTATTATAATACTTCCTAGTTAAATAAACGCGAGCCAGTCGTAAATTTAACAAATAAAAAAAGAACAAAGAGAATAAGGAGAAAAGAGCTTGTCCCAGTTTTGTAGATCCGCTACAGGATGACTCGATGTCTCTATCGTGCCAGGATTAAACGCAAAAAAGTATTGTCTGTTTAAACCAGCTGGGTAAAAGGTATCACGTTTTCGCGGTCAAATATTAATATTGAACGACAGAAGAGTCTATCCCGAGTGAAAGCGGACGTGCCTGGGACGCCCGGATCGTAAAGAAGCGTCCCTTTGATCGCTCGGAAGCGAAAACTTTCTTTTGGCTCGTGAAACGGGGGAAAAACACGTCGGACACGAAGCGGAAAGAAAAAGGATCCATCGAACGCTGTCAATAAATCTCTGCCACGGCCGAACGAGATCTTCAGTGTCAGGATTCGTTCATCTCGACGCTCTTCGAGCTCCTGTGGTGTCGTCAAAATGGTGTCGTTCGGTCGAACGTCGAGACTCGTCGGGTTTCTCGTCGTTTCGACGATTCTGTTCGACGGTTCGCGAGCCACCGAGAAAATTAAGACGGCTTCTGTTGACTTGAAACGCGTGGAGGACCTCGAAGCTTCTCCCAGCGTCCATGGAGGCACGTATTTATGCTTATCGAGTGATTTGGAAAGATTAGAGCAGTCAGAAGCTGCCATTTTGAAAATTAACCAGAATGCACATTTTCAATGAACACATTTGCAATTAATTGAAACAGATGGAGGCAAATACGGGGAGAAGGGTGGAGGTACAAAGTTTCACGAGGATCACCATTCTGTCGATGAAGAAAAGGGCGACAAGGTACATTAATATTATTTCAAAAATGATCATATCGAGTAGTATAAATTTCGTGGGAGGCTTTCTGAGATGAGTGACCTCGCGAGCCAGTGGCTTTGGCCGCCATTGTTGCATCCTTCGCCCAGCTTTCTCCGTGAGCATCGATGCTAGGTGGGTTGCTACGCTGCAGGCGGATTTTAGTCGATCTTTAAACGCTTATCACCACAAAACAAAGACTCCGTACATTATATATTAACATACAAAGTGCATCGTTTGTTAATTATTCGAGAATTCTTGTGCAGAAAAAGGAATTCATCATCATTTGGAACTGTTAGAGCTGTTCCTGGCATATGAGACTCTTTCTCTCTCACTCCTTAGCCGACATCGACGTACCAGTGCTCGTCATTGTCGACGACTTTTTTCTCTTTTTATCGCCCCGTAATATTAGAGTCGACGGCATCCAAGGATTATTTATTATACGGTCGTTTTTACGCGAACGATATCCTTGCAGCACCAAATGACGCTTCTTTCTTCACCGGGAAAATATTCTCTGAAACGATACCGTGTTTTTCCGGACCCCTTTTGTACTACGCCGACGCTTCTGATATTGCTTTTCACTTTTACTTCGCGAGGGGACGCTGCCCGTGGGGTGATTAATTCGTCGGCGAACTCGTCGCTCTCCGACTCGATGCAATGCTTTGAAACCGTAAACGATGTTTGGACATGGCATTTAGTTTTTTTTGGGAAATTCCTGCCCGTCTCTCGTCCGTTAAATCCTTTGCAATCGAGACACGCAATATGCATACATTCAATGACGAAAGGGTTAATTATGCCCCGTTTGGAACAGGGCTACAAAGTTTTCCACGAGCACGATAAGGGCCAGAAAGGGCATCACGACATAGAGAACCATAAAGGAAAATATGATGAAAAGAAAGGGGAAGAGGAGAAAGAGCACGAGGAGGTAGATCATTACGATGAAAAGCATCATGGCGAGGAAGGCGAAAAGGCAGCGAAATTCGACGAGGAAGGGAAACACCAGAAGGGCTACAGCACTAAAGGTGGCCACAGTATCTTCAAGAAGGTTCGTTTGCTTTGTAGTTAATGTTAACTATAATTTCTGCGAGCACGCAAAGAGATATTAAACAAAATTTCATTTGGATCGGACAAAAATAGTAGGAGTTATAAGGGAATCACAAACACACAGATCTTGAATTTTTCTCTACGATCTAAAGTATACTTGGTATTTTATTATATTAATCAATTAATTAGGGCACCGTTTATTTGTCGCGGAGAGTCTTCGATACACTTTTTCTGAACTTCGTCGAACCTGTCGGCGAGATAAGTTTCTTTCTTGCATCGAGCTTGTAACGACTTGGGCGGACAATTTTCCGAGCATCAACGGCAGTGATGCAGTTAACGTATTAATTAAAAATTGCTCGGTTAACGCGAGATCGCGTTGCAGGACGAGTACGAAAAGAAGCACGACTTTTACGACGAGTACCACGAAGACGGTGAAAATGAGAAGCATGGAGGTTACCATCACGAACACGAGGGCAAAAAGGGTGGCCACGAGAAGAAGGGACAGCTGGACTCTGCTCGTCACGAGGTCAGTCTAAACGTTTAAATATTTACAGCATTAATTATTGTGATATTAGACCAATCTAAAGAATGGCGCTACGTGTAAATATCTCCTGTAGATCACGACAGATGGCGCCAACAGAGACGCTTTTTTAATAAAACGAAATCAATTATTCGAAGTGTCTCGACTTAACTGATGTTTCAGCATCATCACGGCAAGAAGAAGAAGCAAGAGCAGGGCCATCATCATCGTAATCAGAAGGGTCGTAAACAAAGCGAGGGCCAGGACAGCCATCATCGAGGCGAGAAGAAATATGGGAAAAATGGTGGACACGAATCGGGGAAGAAATGGTTCGCGAGCAACGGACATTAACACCTGAGGGAATTAACCTAGTTGTTGCGACAATATACAGGGTGTTTACGAGTAATCTTTTAGGGGATGATTAAAAAATCAAAAGGTCTTATAGGTTATTATTCGAATAAAATTTTTTCCAACTTTCCTAACTACGAGACATAGATATTAAAACAAGTCACCTTTTTTTTACTTTTTCACTTATGTAATTAACTATAATTTGTATCATTTTGCGTATAACTATTGTACTGATATAATAATAATCTCATTAGTAATACAAAATTAAAAATCTGTGTGTTTGCTTTGGGTTCAAGGACATTTAAAAGTTTCCCCATTCATTATTGCAAAATATCTTCTACGGAAAAACTATAGTTCCATGTAATTAAAAGCTCCACGGATGTTACACTGTGAAATTATGCAAATGTTGCATGAAATATGTAACCGCATATCCTTTGCTAGCAGTGTGGAGTGCGATTTTCGTCGCAGCTCGGAGAAAATGGTGGTCCAGGTTATTCGCCGGGTGCCGTAATTATTCAGAAAAATAGCCCATTGAAGCGATCCCCGATGCTTTGTAACACGATTCCCTTGATCGTTCCCGCGCGTTCTAATTACACCGCTACAACATTGGACGTGGTCATTTTAAGTGATAACAGTACCCGTCGCGAAAGATTACCTTTCAGCCGACGAAATTATACAGAGACCGACGAGAAACGGGCAAAAAATACCAGTAATAGTCGCCACTACGATTTTCGCGCCCTCGACGCCATTTTTCGTACATTTTGCCAACCTTCCATTGCAAGATTTGACATTTGTTTATCAATATTTCAACTATTTGAACACGTCACATATACATCGATATTTATAAAAAGCAATATACTTTTTTTAAAAAATTTTACAATTTTATTTTAGGAGAGGACTATCGCCATCGTTGTCCATTTTTATATCCGCCACTGTTCGAGGCGGAGCAGAACAGAAATTCGTACCCAGGTCTCTCGAGATGATGAAATATCTTCGATCACGCTGACCGATCAAGCGAGAAGTCGTTTTCGTCGCTCGGCTATACGCCGTGGAAAGTGAAAATCTTGGCGTGAAATTGGCTACGGTCCGCTACCTGTTCTATTGTCGCGATCGCGAACGCTCTATGAATAAGCGGCTGGTATGCGATATCGACTCGCGGAATTGCGAGTCTTCGCTACGACAGGAAGCCAGACGTCGCGTCTCCGAGCATCGGGGCTGCGTTCCGTTCGAAGAGCAAGCCTTTCTTCGCGTAGGAGAACGTTAATTACTTTCGCTGAATGTACACCGCCGTTACGTCGATACTTTTCCTCTTATTTCATGTACAAACGACGGCTGAGAAACGTCTTGCCCCTTCGAATCGATCACGAATTATTATCCACGTGCAAGTCGAACTCTGTGTGTTTGTGATTTCTCTGTAACTTCTACTAGCCTCGTACAAATCGTATTATACTTTGTCAAGTTGTAGTTCGTGGTCCCACGGACGATATAGGCTATCTAATTTTTGGGAATATTAGGTATATAGTAGGCTACAAGATTGTTTAAATGAGCGGGACATTGTATTATATGTCGAGTGAAACTTCTTAAATTTATCTATATGAGAGTATTCGTACTGCATTGTGAGCAGATTTCATTTTTATGAAGAATGTTATGGCATTCCTGCTGATAGAACCTTGCATAATACTGAAGAATGCCAAGAATGTCATAACAATACTGCGCGATGTGTGTAGGATGTAGATTAAGCATGCAGAACCACCGTAGTGAAATGTTAGAGAGAAGTTGGAATGGAATGAATTGACCGCCAAGGTCACTGACAGCTGTTACCCCCACCCTAGTCACTTGGTGTACGCTGCGTGCAGATAGAGTCCCAAGAAACTCGTAATGCGTAGTTAAAATCATGCAAAGCCTTTACTTCATCCGAATATAATTTTCTTAAAATGATTTTAAATGCTCCTAAACAACATTTATGCAACATAACAATCTATTTGCTTGTGTTATAAAACACTGCTGTTAATTTGAAGGCACCTAAAGTAGACTAAATTCCTGTAAATAGATTTTCTCATAGGAATACAATACTGCCTCGTTTATTGCACAAATCTGCGTTATGGATACATGCAACGAAGCCATCCTCACCACCAATTGTGGACGTCAAACTCCATTCGAGCGGCCCAATTTTGAGTTCAGTAGATTCCAAAAAAACGAAATCTGGTCCACACCTCTCTATATGCAATCTGGCAATCCCGATTTTATTGCAAGAAGAGAGGTACTGGTATCAAAAAAGCAGAATTCACCGATCGACGAACAATTTTAGAGCAAAGTTCAAAGAGGCGCAGGTAAGTGGTGACCGTAACGAAGTCATCGTTCGTAAATCGAGTAAAATTTCTAAGATGAGCCCAAGATTGCGCCAAGAGATAGTTAAGGGCACCTGTTTGCAGGGTAATGGCGCACGTCGTAGGAGGTTTTGTGACGCTAGGCTCGGTGAATCTTCTTTGCCGCCAGTAAATTAATCGGCGGAACTAATCCCGGGGTCCTTTTTTTTGTTCCATTATTTCACTCCTACGTTATCCACTCCCACGCGACGCTTCTACCTGTAGAATCCTCGTTGTAGATTCGTCGACCATCAATTTCACCTTTTCTCGTTAAATTACTGCACTTGTTAGCTCTGTCCACGACCTTCTAGACTTCGAATCCTCGACTTCCAAGCTTCTTTTGGTTCTTATTTTTTTTTTTAAACGAGTATGAGCACCATCGATTACTTAGGGGTGGATTCAATCCCCTTTTCCCCGAGAACTAAGGTTATAAAAGTTCCATTCGAACCGTTTCGACGGAAGTTGTAACTCGATTAAAATTCATAAAATAAATAAATTCGATTGGAATCAATCGCGTAATTACAAAAGCGGACGCAAACGCGTTGGAACTCGTTAATTATTCTCAATCGTTGGAGATTATTTGTCGTTGCGAACGATGATTGTTCGCGCGCCACGTTAATCGAAATTGTCTCGTTAATGTTATAAAACTGCGGCGAGGGGACCGCTGAAGCTCGACGGGAGGCAAAAAGAAATCCGTTGCGAAATAACGAACGATTTGTCGTCTGTTGCAAGCGAGCATAATCAGATTAGTCCTACGAATCGATTGGAAGTTTCGTTCATTTTCCATTTTTATGAAATATAAAAGGTATTTTCCAATAAATGCACTTACCAAAATTAATAACATTTCTGAAACTATAATATAGGAACAATTTCTGATTTTGATGGAGTTTTCTATTTTTACTTTTTTTTGGAGGTCACGTCAAAGTCAATGTAAGTTACGTACGATATTATGTTAGATCAAACAACGACGATAAGTTCAGTGGTAAATAAAATTTTATCAATCAAAATTCTATTTAATCGAACGAATCGTCAGCCATTTTCAGGTTAATATCTTCCTACTTTGCAATCGTAATATGTCATTCTTTTTTATACGATTTCACGCGCGAAGAGACGAGAGTTGTGTTACGCAAAATCGCGAATCGTAAACGGGGATTTCCCGTGTTTCTATCGGACGGATTACGTGACGGAACGTGTGCCATTTTTCTGCGGGTTGTTGCAAAAGTGAAAGTTTTCGACCACAAATGAAAAGCACCAAAAACCAGCTGAAATATATTTTACTGTTCGAACGGATCACTGAGAAAATAGTGCACAGACGCGCTGAGTCGATTTTGTCACTTGAATCCGGGGTAAAAATTGTCACTTGAAAGCGGGGGCTACTTCCAAGGCGAATAAAACAAATATTAACGTCGTTGATTAAATTTTTAATGCGATCTTTTACAAATGTCCTATTTTGGAATCATCTAATTCAATTTCTTGATCATCGGTTCAAAATTAAAGATCAATAGTCGATCGAGCGACACCCAAATGAAAAAGAAATAGTAAAACGATCTCGCGGAGACTGTACTTTTCTACTTTTAGCTTCGACACACACTTCCACCATTTACTTTCATTTCCACGAGATCAAATATGTAATCGAAGTTCTTGTTAACCACGATATACGCTGTATATTCTAGCTCTGTGCAACTTTTTTTTACGATCAACGATCTAATAATTATTTTCACTGTTGTTTCTAGTTTACTACATTGTTGACGTTACGAGGGAGATCTTTTTGCCATCCGGATTTCTGTGATTTTAATTGACCGATTGCTCGGTGCGATCTGGCCGAGCGACGAATTCTTGTGCAACTGTTCGGAGAAAGGAGGAAGCCGAATCGAGAGAACGATCGACAGAATCGACGTGATTCGCCCCGGCGCCGTTGCTCCCTCGGCTGAACGCGCGCCTCCTAATCGCTGTGAAATTGTCATATTATTCGCGAACGGTTTTCTAAGACGGGAAATCACACGATATAATTGCCTGGTCAGCCCAGAAACACAGTTCAGTCTCGGTTGTGTCCCCGACGAGCCATGCAAACCGCCCGACCAACGGCGGCTACCCTGCTGCTTCTATTTTACCTGGTAACGTCCATTTTTTAAATATTCTCTTCCAAAACACTCTTTTGGTAATTTATTTACATATAATTACTATTTAATTTTTAATAGATCACAATATCTACTGATATTTCAAGAATTTACCATTTTTGCCATTTTTACCATTTTGATATTTCATAAGTAGATCGGCATATATTCGTATATAGAATATAAATGCTTTTAATGTACGATCTATTGATGTTTTTAGAATGTTTTACCATTTTTAATTTTTCAAATGGCCAATAATTAGAATTAATGATATCTACTATAATTTATGTTTCACAGACAACAAGACCAGCCCCCGCAAACGGAAACACCGTCAGATCGTGGAGATCCGTTCCATCAGCTTCAGATCAGATCGCCTTAAACGATACGACCGCCATAAACGATGGTAACGACGAACGATCGACCAAATTCCCAACCATTCTCAATCCAACGAAGATCAATAGCGAGATTTTGTCGCTCGTAGACAATGAAAGTGACGATTCAGGGAAAAATATTGCTCCTCCGA